TTAAACGTATTTCATTTTTCTCCTCATTATCATAATATTTTAACTTCTCCTGTTTCCCATTATATTCCAACATTCCCTTATCTATATTTATTATAGCTCCAATTTTTCTTAATAAATTGAATCCAATTAGAATATCAGATTCTAAACCTTCGATTTCATAAAATAATTGTTTTGTTTCAAATATATTTATAATATGGTAATACTAATAATTGAGTAGCCATGAACTGTTGTTACCTTTTTGTATATTGGTAGCTCGTTTTTATTTTCAAAAATTCCCCTTCTTATGTAACAAGCAGTGGCTCCTGTATCTATTAAAACTTTTAGCTGCTTCTTGGTTTTTCGATCTATCCCATTTAAATAAGGCATTCCTCTGTGTTATTAGCTGGCTGACTTTCTGTTCCATCTGATTCCCTTTTTTGAGCTTGAGTTTGCTCTCTATTATGATTTGTGTTATAGAAAATTGAACGATTTTTATTTTGATGATAATTATTATTATATCTTATCGGTTATCGGTTGCCTGCCAATTATTTTATCTTCCTTGGTTACTATTTGACTGCCAATTTTGGCTCGGCTGCCGATTGTTATTAGATTTATTCTGGAGTTGAGTTGGTGGATCAACATCCATTGGCTCGATAGCTTGTTGCTTATGATTATTATTTTGATTATTATTTTGCCAAAAATTTCCCTTTTGTGGCCAATTGTAATTTTGGTTATGATTAAAATTATTTCCCATTTTAGTGGTATTATTATTTTGTCGTATTTGATCAAATCGTAAGATGTTTCCCCGATATTTACTTTCATTTTTAAATCCATTAAACCTGTTTGCGAATGTTAACGATCACTGTCACTTGGTAGTGTCGTTTGGTGGATGTTTTAATTTTTCCACTAAAAATGTTGAGTTGGTGACCGCGCGAGTTCCGTTTATGTTTAACTTATTTTTATAAAACTATTAAGTCCGGATATAAATACTCGTAGAGCATTTCCCCTTATTGAATTGTTTGTTTCTTTGGTAATTACACTGTCCTTTCCGTATGTCATTATGGTTTTGTTTATTAGTAAGGTCATTTTTTTATTGACTTCGTTATAGTACTCAGTAATTGTTATTCGTCCTTGCCTGAGGATACTTAGTTCTGACTCGAGAACATGTATTGGTCGTTTGTCACTATATATGAAGTCCAATCGGGATAAGATTGCTTTAAAGTTTAAAACTGTGCCATGATTGCTAAGAGAATCATTGGCAGCTCCCATAATTTTATTTCGTAAAATTGTCAAGGCGATAAAATATTGTTCACTTTCAATTTTATAGAGACTCATAGCAGTTTCTGCAGCTTCCCTCCAACCTACATATTGTGTTGATTCCCCTGTAAAATTTGGTAAGGATTTTACCACTTCAAGTGTTGTATCGCATTTTATAGCTGGGTCAATTGTTTGTACTTTATAATCTTCCACAGTTTTTGCAGCTGTGGCTAGCCTTCCTTCTAAACATTCTACTTTCCTGCTAACTTCATTCAATTGAGCGTTTATTAATCTGTTTATCAATTCTACTGTCAAACTGCCGGCTGTGGCTACACTGCCTGCAGAAAAATTTGGTGCTGAACCTCCGGTTGCCATTGTAAGATTTAATTCACAAAAGCTATTTATCAAATCTTCCAGAATTATTCTTTGTATTTTTGGTTAAATCGCGAATCTTACTTTTTGCAATATATAAATCTTATATTATTTTTCTCAAATTCACAGATCTTAAATTATAGTCTTTAATTTTTTTTATTATTTTAAATTAATTCCTCACGATATTGTCCCGTTGGGGTCTTCCTTCTGTGTGGTTGGTAGTTGATAGTTGATAAATGGATAGAGAATGTCCTGTCTTCCTTCCTTGGTTTTTTTGTTGGAGCGAGTTGTCGTTTTTATTTGAGAATGTCCTGCCTTCCTTCCCTGATTTTTCTTGTTGGAGTTGTCATTTTATTTGTTTTTGTTGTCCTTTTTGTTTTTTTTTGTGCGTTGAATTTTTTAGTTTTTGTGTTCTTGTAATTGTTTGGTTTAAAATTTCGGTCCACCTTTGTTTTAATTCACTCTTTATGGATTATTTCATTAATTAATTTCCATTTACTTTATTGTTAACGATCACTGTCACTTGGTAGTGTCGTTTGGTGGATGTTTTAATTTTTCCACTAAAAATGTTGAGTTGTTGACCGCGCGAGTTCCGTTTATGTTTAACTTATTTGTCATTAAACTATTTTTGGGCGCCAGTTAAATTGTTTGTAGTTCGGTGAATTAAAAAAATGTAAATTTTATTTTTTAATTACACAACTTGGTGTAAAACCTTTATTTATTAAAAGTAATTATTACAAGACACTTTTGATTTCTCTTAAATATTTTTTGTCAACCGTTCGGGGTCTCGGTCAAAAAGGGACTGACTTCTTAGTTCTAAATCTGATCCAAAGAACCTCGGCCATCAGTTGTGTTTAGATTAGAGGCTTAAGATGAAACTTTCGCATCTTATTGTGAAATTCGATTAAGCTGATCGATGCAATTTGATGGGTACTTGAAACGCAAAAGGCCTAATTGATTGGGCTTCGAAGGGAAGCTGATGTTTACTTTTGATTTTGATTTGTTTATGGGGAACCGAGATCGGACCTCAGAGCCAAAGACAAAGCCGAAGGAAAATGCAGAGTTTGAAAATATTGTTTATAAAATTCATAAGTGGAAAGCCATAAGTGGCCTGGATTTATGGGTTGGGTAATTGAGCCAAAGATCAAGCCAAAGGCAAATGCAGAGATTGAAAATATTGTTTATAAAAGCCATAAGTGGCCTGTATTTAGGGATTGGATAACTTGCATGTGTTGAGTGAGATTATGCATAATTGTTCGGTAGCCAACTGCACTTGCGTTCAGTTTGTAGCTATTTTCCCGAGAGTGTAGCTGACAAATTCATTGTTTAAAAAAAATATTGAAAAGTGTTAAATAAACATTAAAATAATTACTTTATCCTAATACCAAGTTTAGCAACTTTATAAAAAAAGGTAAGGGAGTATTTAAAACAAAACCCCGCATGAAAATATTATTTAGTTTGTTTGTAATTTGCGTATGTCTGCATATACGCAACATCCTGTACCACTTGAACCAAGACACCTAGGACATTGAAATTTTTGTCAGTTGATATTGGGGTCAATTCTAGCTTTTATGTATACTCAAAAAATTGTTGGCCACGCCAACACGCCACGCCTTTAATTTGGGCATGAGAGGGTTAATGCATTAGCATTAGTAACGAATAGCAGAAAGAAGGCTGTGAATATGACGTTTCACACATTAATAGTGTGTGTGTGGAGCAGAGCTCGGGCAGAGAAATTTACTAGGGCCGTGATGACCACTGCTATAAAGTATACATATTTTGATCAAATTCACCTCCTAAGTTGATATGAGCATGCCTCGCTGTTTGTACAGTTCTTAAGCTATCGACTTGAAATTTTGCTCACACCCTTCTTTTCTTTGCACGCAGAATATACGTCGGAACGGGATCGGCCGACTGTACACCATCATAATCACCATAACTAATTGATCGGAAATTCTAGTAAAGGAGTCATCTCCGACCCTATAAAGTATACATATTCTTGATCAGGATCACCTCCTGAGTTGATAAGAGCATGTCCGTCTGTCTGTTTCTACGCGAACTAGTCTATCAGTTTTAAAGCTATCGACTTGAAACTTTGCACACACCCTTCTTTCCATTGGGCCCAGTCGGACAAGGACCAGAGGGCGGCTCCCCCGAAGAAAAATAAGGCTGGCAGCCCACCGGCAAAAAGCGAAGAATGCCTGACGGAGCTGGGCACGATAGTGAACGAGCTGCTATCGCGGGTCACAGAAAAAAATAAGAGGCATATTTCCGCAATGCAAAGGAGCCTGATAACCAGATTGAAGGACATCCACTCCATTCTGGTCGGAAGTGTTCCGGAGGAGCATGCGCGACCGGCCATCATGCCCAAGCCAGTGTGCCCCAGATGCGAGAGGGCCGGCATCGATACCGCGGAAAAGGAGCAGCAGACCCTTCCGACGGAGGTCTGGACCCAGGACCAGGCTGTGCAGACCGGCAGCATCCCTAACAGCACGGGCCCCAAGAGTGCACACCGGGACTCGGGGGCCAAAGTAGCAACGGCCAACACGGCGGCAAGGCCCAAGCCAGCAGTTGGAAACCCGGCTGCCGACAAAGGAAGCGACGGCGAAGCAAGCAGGAGAACGTCTGAATGGACGAAGGCCAAGCCTAGAAATCCCGAGAGGAGACGAGCCAGACCCGACGCCATAGTAATCCAAGCAGCAGGCATGACGTACAGTCAGATCCTGAGCATGGTAACTCGCAGGGAGGACGGGAAGCTAGACGACCTTGGCCCTTGCGTCAAGAAAGTGAGGAAGACAGCCAAGGGCGGACTGCTACTGGAATTGGCCAGGAAGAAGGAGAGCTCCACACAGGCCCTCAAAGGTTGCATCGAGGAGGTCCTAGGGAGCAAGGCAGAGGTGCGGGCGTACTCGGAGGAGACCAAGGAGTCACTCGTCGAGCTAAGAGGACTCGACGCACTTCAGAGGACATCATCGGGGCTATCGCGCAGCAGGCAGCGGTGGACCAAGGCGCCTTAAAAGTAAAGAAGCTGAGAAGCAGTTATGGCGAGTCGCAGACCGCTATCGTGGCTTTCCCCGCGAGCCTTGCCAAGGCCATCATTGCTGTGGGCAAGGTGAAGGTTGGGTGGACAGTATGCCATATGAGGGAAAAGGAGGCCGTGGCTCGCTGCTACAGGTGTCTTGGGAGGGGGCACATCGCAAGCGCTTGCAAGAGCTCGAAGGACAGAAGTGGCTGTTGCTTCCGCTGCGGAGACTCGGACCACAGGGCGGCCACCTGCAAAAGGACCCTCGATGCTTCTCGTGCGAAGATAAGGGCCGGAAGGATGTGAGGCATCAGACTGGAAGCAGAAGTTGCCCCATGTCAGCGAAAGGAGGTGGACCTAGGACGACAGGATGTTAGTGCTTCAGCTGAACCTGAACCACTGTAGGGCGGCCCAAGATGTGCTGTCACAGACGGCGAGGGAGACGAAGGCGGACATAGCGCTCCTAAGCGAGCCCCATAGGACTGGCTCAGACAACCGCTGGGCAGTTGACCTATCGGGGAAGGCCGCCATCTGGAGCTGCGGCGCAACCGGCGCGACAATGCACTCAGTGCACAGTGCGGAGGGATTTGTAAGGGCTCGGATAGGTGGGGCATGGCTGTACAGCTGCTACATGGCACCTAGCCTAACCACCATTGAGTTTGAGCGCATGATGGACTGCCTAGGAAATGACATCAGAGGCCGTTCTGACGTCCTTGTAGCAGGGGACTTCAACGCATGGGCGCAGGACTGGGGCTGCCCGAGGACAAATGCGAGAGGGAGAATGGTCAGAGAAACCTTTGCCTCACTCGATCTCGTCCTGCTGAACGAAGGAAACCAGCACACCTTCAGCAGAGCCGGAGCAGAATCCATCATTGACCTGACGTTCGCGAGCCTCTCGCTAGCGACGGGCGCTAACTGGAGGATAAGCGGCAGCTTTACGGCAAGCGACCACGAAGCAATATTGTGCTCAGAGGGAACAGAGGGAACCAAGGCTACAGAGTCGGTACGCTCCAGGCGAGGAACTTTACCGAGGCAGCACGTGACATCGGCAACGTCCCACCAAGCGGAGCCAACGAAATGGCTGACACCCTTGCAGCTAAGCTTGAGGCAGCGTGCATGGCGAGCATGCAGCGGAGAAGCCGCTACCGCAGAAACCACGCTCCTGTTTACTGGTGGAGCGAGGAGATTGGCACCATCCGAGCTGAGTGCGTGAGAGCAAGGAGGCTTATGCAGCGAGCGAGAAGCAGCGACGCCTTTGAGGAGCGGCATCAAGCCTTCAAGGACCGGCGCAAAGCATTGAAGGTGGCCATCCGAGATAGTAAAAGGAAATGCTTCCTGGAGTTGTGTGACTCAGCGGAGGAAAATCCATGGGGCAACGCGTACCGGATAGTGGTGAAGAGGCTGCGCGCAGGAAACCAGTCCCCCAAGGACCCGAACGTGCTAAGGACCATAGTGCAAGCACTGTTCCCAGCCGGCAACCAGGTCACCCAGCTTCCCACCCCCCCAGCAGACAATGAAGCGACTGAGGAGGTAACGGAAGAGGAAGTACTGGCCATAGGGAGAGGCCTATATATTTTTTTATATAAAAAAAAAAATTGGGCCCAGTATATAAGTCGGAACGACCGGTATCGGCCGACTATAGCTGCCTATAGCTGCTATATAACTGATTGATCGGAAATGGTATAACTTTGTTGTTTTTAGAGTTAAAGAGTTCAAATTTGACACGACAATTTGAACAGCTATTTTTGGCAAAACAATATGACATGCCAAATTTCATGAGGATCGGCCGACTATATCCTATAGCTTCCATATAACTGAACGATCGGAAATGACCCAAATTTCGTGTTTTTGAAGATAGAAAGCTCGAACTTGGTAAAGATTATATTTTTGGTCAGTTAATCGGACCTACCAAATTTCATAACGATCGGCCGACTATATCTTATAGCTCTTATTGGATTATATATTCATATTCCCATAAGGATCGGCCAACTATATCCGATGTTTGCGATATATATCCAGTTTTAACTGCAAGGGTATATAAACTTCGGCTCCGCCCGAAGTTAGCTTCCTTTCTTGTTTTTTTCTTGAACGTTGGAGGCTGCTGGCTTTCAGTTTTAGGTGCATCTTTTTGCATTCGATGTGCTTACGCCAGGTAAGTCGTCTATCAAGATGGACGCCATACCGTTTAGTAAAAGTGGAGGGCGTGTTTGTCTATTAAGAGTAAACGTTATATGTTTACACTTTTGTTCGTCTATTTTAATGCGCCAGTCGGACAACCACCTTTCCACTATTATAAGATGATTAGCCAGTTGGGTTGTGGCCTGCGTTGGGCATCTGGAGCGACTAAGGATAGCGGTATCATCGGCGAACGTTGACGTTGTTATTTGTGCGTTCGTAAGAATATCCGCAGTATACAAAACATAAAGACACGAGTGCCGAGTGCGCTTCCTTGTGGAACTCTAGCTTCGATGATGTAGTCGCCAGGAGTAGCTGCGTTGCATTTCACTGAGAATACCCTATTTTAGAGGTATGATTCCTGTAGCTTGTGGGTGTATGTTGGCAAATACGTTTAAATTTTGTGCATGAGTCCAATAAACCAAACTCGGTCGAAAGTTTGAGATACGTCGAGAAAAATAGCGCTGCAGTATTCTCGCTGTTCGAAGGCTGAGCGTATTTCGGATGTTAATCTGTACACTTGCTCGATGGTTTCGTGGTTTCTTCGGAAGCCAAATTGGTGTGCCGGGCTTATATTCCAAGCTTCCAGATGTGGTATTATACGAGTTAACAAGCATTTAGAAGGCTTATTGGTCTGTATGATGACGGAATTGTGTGGTCTTTTCCAGGCTTCGGTATCATTATAATGATGGTTTCTTCCACTTTTTTGGGATATAGCCAATATTAATGATTCCATTAAATAGTTTGCAGACGACCTCTATAGCGCATTTTGGAAGTTCGAGACAGCATCTTTGGGGTCAATAGTTCACCACCGGGAGCCTTTTTTGGTTTTAGCCCTCTCATGACTTTTTCGATTTCGTTCGGCCGGAATGAAGGTGCGGCTAGCTGAGGGGAGGACTCTGGCTGAATTACTGGCAGGAGGAATGAATTTGAGGCTGGGTTTGGCGGAAAGACACTTTGGAGATGTGTGGCGAATGTTTCAGCTCAGTCTTCGTCGCTGCGAGCCCAGCATCCCGAAGAGTTTCTTATCGGGGTGGTCGTTTTAATTGGGGCGCTAAGATTTGGGTGGGCCCTCCACAGGGGGTACTTTGTGTTTGTTGGCGAGAGATTCTGGATGTACCTCAGCTGTGCATTTTCTTCCTGTTGGTGAAGAGCCTGGTCGATTGATCGGGTTGCTTTTTTAAGACGTTGTTTTGAAGCTGGTGCTCTGCTGTTTTGCCAATCACGACGCGTGCGCCCCTTTTCTCGCACGAGCTGTTCGATTTGCTGATTAGATTTGAAGTATTTTTTTCGGTCTACTTCTTTCCCATGAGGAGTAGAGATTTTAGCTGCCGCAACGAGTACTTCTTCCAGGGCGCTCGTAGTGTATTCGATGTCCGATTCCATGTTAAATTCCGGGGCGAGTTCTATGTGGGCAATCACGTACTTTTTGTATTTTATCCAGTTCGTTTTTGGCGTCGTCAGGCTAAAGGGGTGTTCGGTTATTTTGGGGCTTTGTAGAAGCGTTAGAAGCACAGGCGAGTGGTGTGATGATAAATCCGAGACTGCTTTGGAACTTATTAGATTGCGAGGTATGTTTTTTGTCACTGCAAAATCAATAAGGTCTGGGAGCTTTCGTGAGTCTGTTGGCCAGTATTTGGGACTTCCAGGGGAAACGTAGTCCAGCTTATTTTTCACATTTATAGTTGCATTGTACAATTGTCTTCCTTTGGGAGTCACTAGACGTGATCCCCAGTGCGTATGTTTTGTAATATGCACATATATGCACTATTAATATCATATGTATATATATCGACCACCCACTGTACCAAGAGTACTTAAAGGGTACACACTGTAACACTTTGTCGCAGTGTTTATGTTATCCAAGGTCTCGGTCATAAGCCTAAGTGCACCAAAATATGAATCGCCCGCTGTGCCTTTGCTGTACGCCGAAAAGTGCATATGTCCGCATATACGTAACACGAGTGGACCTTATGCATGTCCACATACCTCCGCCTAAGCGAACATAACATAAATATATATTCATATATAAATATTTAAGAATACATAACCGTCTCTCCGCTGCCGCTTTGGGCAGCGCAGCTACGAGACTTCGACTTCCTTTAACTCATAAGTAGATTGGTAAAAGAAGAAACTCCTATGAGCTCGGAGCGGCAACAACAGCTGCTCCGAATACAACTCAAGCCTTAAATAAAATAAAGATATGCTAAGCCTTCAAACCAACCGATATAATCAATAAAACTGGGAACACGACCACAAACCTGGGGAGCCTTCAAGAGAACATTACATGGCGACCGTGACAGGACAAAAGGACATCGAAGGATCCCCAACGCAGAAGGCATCATAGGATCAAAAGAAATAATAAAACCACAGCCACACACACATCCACCTACACTGCAATACCTAACATATCCAAAGACAGGATAAAACTTAATCCACCACCAAAACAGGAATTACCGAGAATAAAGAAAAAATGCCCCAATGACTGCAGAGGACCCCTGGAATCACCCTTCTGCGAACAAACCTGTGCCAGCACCGGTGCCCCAACAACCAAATAAAGAAGAAACGCCTGTGCAGCCAGCACCGGCCCCGTTTAGCGCTCCAAGCTAAGCCCGGAACAGTGAACCGACAGCGCTACCAAGAGCGCCAAATTTTTTTTCCCCATGCACTGCGTTGCATATTTTTTTTGTATTGCACTGCGATGCATATTTTTTTTTAGTATAAAAAATCCTTTGTTAAATTGAGCGACATTAAAGTTGCCCGATTAGCGTGTGGCCTGAAAAACATACAAAAAAATAGGCAGGTTTTTATGTAAAAAAATACAATGAACAACAAAGAAAAAAAACCAATATATATATAAAAAAAAAAATTATAGGCAGGTTTAATAAAAAAAAGTACAAATAAAAAAAAAACGCAATATACACATAGCCAAATAAGGCAAGTCTTTAAATGAGCCAAACTGAATGGCAAATAAATAATAAATTAAATCATACAATTTACACAAAAAATTATATACCAATTCTAGAGAAAATACCCAAAATGGGTTTAGTAGATGTAAAACAAGTGGACTCCACAGCAAATGTAATAAATAAAATTGAGTCCAGCACTACGAACACAGAATTGACAAATATCCTATTATTAATTATTGTATTCATTTTGATCGCATTCATTTTGTATAAAGCATACATTTTTCATAACAAATGTATAGCAAAAAGAGCGATTAATAAAAGCAAGGCTATCGATCTGGACAAAATATTAAAAAAAAAAATAATAACGAAAAAATAAAAATAAATTTTTAGACATATATGTCTAAAAATAATATATATATATATATATAAAAAAAAAAAAGTATATAAATAAAAAAAAAATAACAACGCTCAATGTCAAATTCTGATATGTTAAAGATGCACCAATGATATATACAAAAACAAAAACGATGTCATATGTTCATGAATAATCTTATCTTTAGGTACAATGAAAATAAAAAATAAAAAATAAATAAAATAAAGAAAGTTTAAAAGAAAATAATTCCAGTATGAGTACACAAAGGACCATAGACAAAACATACGAAAAGGACCCCTATTTCCAAGAAAGGATCAAGCAGTTAGTATCAACAACCCCAGTTAGTGTGTATGAGCTAGAAATACTTTATATAGAAACATTTAACTGCCACGTTTCACCATTGTTTCACTGCACCGCAACCCAAAAAGGAAAAGTATTAACAACAAATCCGGGTGTGCTTGTGAAATCAAGAATAGACGAGCATCTACTTTTAGGTAGAACGATTGTTATGATGGTTTCTAAGAGATAATCCATACCCTTAATATAATGGAATGGAATGAATTATCGAAAGAACTATCAAGCATTAAAGCAGAATTCGACAAATCTCATAAGTCACTCACACAGAATAGACCGATACAAAAAACAACGGTCAATAAACACGTAGAAATATTAGTTAAATGCTTTAATGAAGCTCGAATATTAATATATGAACACAGAGAAAAGTTAAATCCGGATCACTGGTCTCGAGTATCAAAGTTTTTGATCAGACTAAGATCTAATCTAACATCTGTTAAAGAAAGGTTCAAGCTTGATATTTCAATACCTACTATTCTCAATACTTCAATAACAATTGAAGCTGGTGACGAACATTTAATGACGAACATGACGAACAGAATAATTAGAATCAAAAGAAGTTATTGACCAACAAGAAAAAGAAGAAAGCGATATTAACAACCTTACGGTTCCGGCAGTCCTTATTCAATCTGAATTATCAGACCAGGACTTGTCCGACTCTGAATTTAACGACAGCATTGTAGAATTAAAACCAACCGCAATGGCTGACGAGAGCATTGCCCAAAGGGCATACATTAGAGAAATATCGAATGCCATCCCGGAATTTAACGGCCAAAGGTTACACCTTCAAAGATTTATAACAGCTTTGAGGTTAGTTAACCTGACGAAAGGCACATTCGAGAATTTGGCTGTAGAAGTAATTAAATCCAAAATAATTGGATCAACTTTATACAGAGTCCAAAATGAAGGAACTATAGAAGCAATAATCAGAAAACTACAAGACACTATAGTCGGAGAAACCTCTGACATAAAGCCAAAATGGCGAAAACAACCCAGAAAGGCAAAACCGCGGAAAAATTCACGACGGAAATAGACAACTTAAGGAAGCTCCTAGAAGCTTCGTACATTGACGAAGGCCTATCGGCCGAACACGCTGACAAATTCCGTACCAAGGAGGCCACAACCACAATGGTTAAAGACTGTGAGCATGGCCGCCTCAAAACAATATTGAAAGCAGGCACTTTCATAACTATGAATGAAGCCATCACAAAGTACATACAATGCAGTACTGAAATGACAGGTAATGCCAATTCAATATTATACACCCAACGAGGAAATAATTATCGCGGTAATAATTTCAGAAACAATTATCGCGGTAGAGGTAATAATCGAGGTAGCTATAATAATACCAGATATTACCAAAATAACGGTTATAATCAAAACAATAGCTACTACAGAAATAACGGTAACCAGAATAACAGTTATTACACAAACAACAACCGCGGCGGAAATAACCGTGGTGGAAACAACCGCGGCGGAAATAGCCGTGGGGGAAACAACAATAATAACCGTAATAATAATAATAACCAAAATAACAATATAAGAATAGCCCAAACGAATTCGGAAAACTCCCAAACACCTTTAGATACACGTCAGTAAAAAACAACAAGATTCACACTATAAATCTCAGTCAAAGTACATTCGTTAGTTTCATAAACGCAGCAACAGGAAAAGAATTAGTTTTTCTACTAGATACAGGTGCAGAAATTTCCATATTAAAGGAAAATTCTGATAATTTTCAAAACATTCAAGATAATCATATCATAAACATACAGGGTATAAGCCAAGAGGTTACCAAATCAAAAGGCATAACTTCTATTGAAATTCAGACTTCTAAGTACATCATCCCACATGATTTCCATATAGTAAATGTGAAATTCGCTATTCCTTGTGATGGGATACTGGGAATAGATTTTATCAAAAGGTACAATTGTCAATTAGACTTCAAGCCTTCTGAAGACTGGCTTGTAATTAGACCAAATATTCTCAAATATCCAATTTATGTTCCGACAACATACAGTTCTGGCAACAACTCCCTAATTCTGCCAGCAAGATCCCAAGTCATCCGAAAAGTTAAGATGAATTCCGAAGAAAATAGTGTATTGATTCCGAATCAAGAGATTCATAAAGGTATCTATATAGCAAATACCATAGCAACAGTCCAGAATGCATATGTAAGACTACTAAATACCACAAATATAGATCAGGTAGTTAATATTAAAAATATTCATCATGAACCACTTTCAAACTACGATGTAGTAAAAACAGACCCCGAAAACCGTAAAAAAACTGTATTATACCAACTTACAAAAAACTTCCCACCTCAATTCAATGATCAACTTACAAAATTATGCATCCAGTATAGTGATGTATTCGGACTAGAAACCGAAGCGATCACTACAAATAATTTCTATAAACAAAAACTGAGATAAAGTGATGATGAACCCGTATATACAAAAAATTACAGAAACCCTCATAGTCAACAAGACAAAATTCAAAAAATAGTCCAAAAACTCATTAATGATAAAATAGTAGAACCCTCTGTATCACCTTATAATAGCCCACTTCTGCTAGTACCAAAAAAGTCACTCCCAAATTCAGAAAATAAAAAATGGCGATTAGTAATAGATTATCGTCAAATTAATAAAAAACTCTTATCTGATAAATTTCCACTCCCTAGAATCGATGACATTTTAGATCAACTAGGTAGAGCAAAGTATTTCTCATGTCTCGACTTAATTTCCGGTTTTCACCAAATTGAACTCGAAAAAAATTCACGAGATATAACATTCTTTTCAACGAACAATGGTTCATATCGTTTCACCCGATAACCATTCGGTTTAAAAATAGCGCCAAACTCCTTTCAAAGAATGATGACTATAGCTTCTCTGAATTGGAGCCTTCCCAAGCATTTCTTTACATGGATGACTTAATAGTCATAGGTTGCTCCGAAAACCACATGCTCAAGAACCTAACTGATGTTTTTGAGAAATGTAGGAAACACAACCTAAAGTTACATCCCGAAAAATGTTCATTTTTCATGCATGAAGTCACCTTCCTAGGACATAAATGCACAAATAAAGGAATCTTGCCCGACGACAAAAAATACGACGTCATTCAAAATTACCCAGTCCCACATGATGTGGACAGCGCTAGAAGATTCGTTGCATTTTGCAATTATTACCGACGTTTCATAAAGAATTTTGCAGAATACTCCCGTCACATAACAAGATTATGTAGCAAAAATGTAAAATTCGAATGGACAACAGAATGTCAAAACGCTTTCGAACATCTAAAATCAGCATTAATACACCCAACTCTGTTGCAATACCCAGATTTTAGCAAAGAATTTTGCATAATTACAGATGCTAGCAAATACGCTTGTGGAGCAGTACTAACTCAGAATAAAAATGGATTACAGCTCCCAGTTGCATACGCATCAAGATCCTTTACGAAAGGTGAAAGCAACAAGAGCACTACAGAACAAGAATTAGCAGCTATTCATTGGGCAATAACATAGTTCAGACCATATATTTATGGTTGACACTTCACTGTCAAAACAGACCACAGAGCACTTACCTATCTATTTTCAATGATAAATCCCAGTTCCAAACTAACACGAATGAGACTTAAATTAGAGAAATATAATTTTACAGTAGAGTATCTAAAGGGTAAAGATAATTATGTAGCTGATGCGCTGTCTAGAATAACAATCACCGACTTGAAAAACATACATTTAAGCATTAAAATTCTGAAAGTCACTACCAGAAACCAAAGTAGACAAAAAATCCTGCGCAGGAAAAGAAAAATAATATTGCATAAGCAATCCATAGAAAAAGCTTCAAAGCCCAACGTATATGAAGTCATTAATAATGATGAAGTACGTAAAGTAGTGACCTTGCATGTAAATGACAATATGTGT